ACTCATCGAAAAAATAAACACTGAGCAACAGACAAGAACCTTGACAGAAGCTCTCAAACAAACATCCCATGATAAAAAGGCCTCAAACGCTAGAGAGGCCAGGTTTTATGAAGACATCTTTGCCTGTAGAAAAAAGATTCAAGAAGACAGGAAAAGTCATCGAGAGAATGAAACCTACCTTAGAAAGGTTTGATAATAGCATTCATTGAATGAGGCTATGTAGGATGTGAAGAATAATATTATGTATATCGAGGAGGATGTTATCCTCCGAGGCTGAAGCCCGAGGTGGATATAAACATCCTCCGAGTCTGACGGTAGTTCGTCGGTCCCTTGCACGGTCAATGTCTATGGACATTTTTTTTCTTGGTTTCAATTGGTGGGATTTTCATTTAATAGTAATGGTAATCTCTTCTTTTTTTCACAAAATATTTAGCTTTTTTTAAATTTTAAAAACCGAAATTCATACCGTTTAGAGCCACACGTGCCTGTATAGCTAGAGGCGGTATCAAGATCTCAATTTTTTTGTCCCACAATCATAAATTGGCTATAGCGAATCTCGCGGAAACGCCAATGGTTACTGTTTGTTATCGTCTTTGACCACTAGCGAACATTCAAGATGGCTACCGAGGTGTATAACTGGGTACAGAAGTATGATGCAGACCTAGATACCAGACAGGTCAGTGAAAAGAGCAAAATAGCTTTTAATTAACTAGTTTCTACTACTACATAAGAAATTTCTGCAATCTGATTGGCTGAGAGCAGTGGTATTTCAGCTTAATTTGAAATACCTACATGTGAAAATTACAAACCTTTTGCGGGTAGTAGTATAAACAAATAATAGCATGATTCTTACGTGATATTTGGTACAAATACCTCTCGTGATATTTCAAAATTGTCTCAAATTTCACTCGCCTAACGGCTCGTGAAATTAGGTATAACAATTTTGAAATATCGCTCGTGGTATTTTTGCCAAATATCATTACGAATCATGCTATTACCTATACAAATAGTTTTTAGCCAACCGCGGAGGGGAATGGGATCCTTTTCAGGGGCGGATCTAGGAGGAGGGTGCAGGGGGTGCGCAACCCCCCTGAGATGACCTGCCGTTTTCTAATACAACTGGTATTCTGTAAAAACTATGTGGTTTATTGGTGTTGAAGTAGAGCAAGAGACGAGTGCACCCCCTCCTAAAAAAAATCCTGGACCCACTCCTGCTTTTCAAAACCTTTTCCGCCAAAAAAGTGAACCTACTCACTGGTTCGCAATTTACATGGAAGTTATATAAGTATCGAGATAGAAATGCAATTTGTCTGTGAATATATACCTTTGTCTTGACAGTGACTTCATTTTACTGGTCGAGCGAGCACTGTACTTATTGTTAGCATTAGCTGACTGAATATCTCGCAACTTCAGGCTGCATTATGTACTAAGTACATCATCATCAGCATCATCATCATAATCATCGTCGTCGTCGTCATCGCCATCATCATGGTCACGGTCATGGTTTCATCAACATCACCATCATTATCATCAACATCGTCGCCTTTACCACTACCACCACCACCACCTTCATCATCATAATCCTCATCATCATCTTCATTATTATTTCTTTTGTTCAAGCAGGTTATATAACGTGTCGGTGTTGATTTGATGTGAGGCTGCTATGCTATAGCACTACACACACATAGACGCAGTCCTCTGTTCTTAAAGAACAGTGTGTGGGTTTTTTTGAACGTATTGCAGATTTTTTATTTGAGTAAGGATCGTAAAGAAGGAGGTGTATTTATTGACTTCTCAGGACGAATACGATCTATATACACGAATGTACGACGCCGATAAAGCTGAACTATCGGAGCTGCAAGCTCGCTTTGACATTTTAGAGAGGAAATATAATGCGATCATAGAGGAAAGAAGACTCTTAGAAGAAGCCAAAGCGAGAAAGTTGGAAGAAGAAATGAAGCAAAACAAAGCTGCTGCAACCATACAAGCAGTTTGGCGAGGATACCAGTTTAGGAGGCTTATGCGCAACAAAGCCAAGAAAGCGGGCAAAAAGAGCAAGGGTGGAAAATAAATAAATAAATAAATAAATGTGTAAATTTCTATTCGTTTTTTGCCTTTTTCTTTTTCGTTATATACGTAAGCAGTAAGTATCAAATAAAGGCAACTATTTCGGATGTCAAGTTACTCTTGCATAATAAAATAATGGTAAATTCAATTCCTACCTGATCCCGCAAAACAAGACTATTTTACGGGTAAAAAATATCATGGCTGCTCACTGGAGCATATGAATGCATCGTAAAAAAAAAACCTTTTACAAGGGGGTATTACCCTAGAAATCGCAGGATTGTTGATCCTTCTAAACTAAATGCACTTCTCCTTCATCAAAGTATTTCAACTTTTTGCGTTCACGCGCCGCCTGCGACCTTTTATACATCGCCTCTATTGTATTTAAGCTCGTGAAAAATTATGCGACTGTGAAAATCAACCCTAAGGCGCAGAAAACCTCGTATAAATAACCTTTATATTACGTGTTATATACCTTATTTTCTCGAATAATAGCCGGGGATGATTATTTTATGGAAGGCGTTTACTTCAAATATTGCTCACTGGAAGTCGCGCCCTAAGTTGTTTTATTATCCAATTAAATAAAAAAATTATCACATCAAATAAACTGAACATCGGCTTTTTAATCGTTTAAATTTAGTTCCTTGACCATTTTTCAGAGCTTGAATCGTCACTGATCAATTTTACTGGATCAGATTCCACTTTAACTTAACAGGGAGAGGATAAAAGAGAGAAAAGATGACAAAAGAGGTGGGGTGGGGGCGATTATTCTAAGAAATATGGTAAGCCGAAACGCATAATACACATGCGTTATTTTTAGAGCCCCATTTTTTTGTTTTGTTTTGTTGTGTCAACTGAGCGTTGAAGAAATGGCGCGTCTTAAGTAAGAATTCGTCTCATCTTTCGTATAAATGGTCCTAATGACCTCGACACAGTCTGAACTTGGACCTCTTGATACGGAGTCCAAAACACCTAACCACTTATAGGCCCTCACTCCGCTCAAGACCTCCCACAGACCCTCTCAACAATGGCTGGCATTGTTTTTTGAAGAGAAAACTGGACTGAAATGTTATTGGACAAAAAAAAAATCTTGAACCTTAAAAGTTTTTCTAGCTATCAATTGTATAATCATAAGAAAACCTCTGAGCTCGGTTAAAACCTGCCTTTGGTTAAAGTAATTACCACTAGACGACCTTTCGAAATCAAAGGTAAGGTGCACTTATAAGGAGCTCTGTTGTGACACTAAAATGGTTTCTGTCCAAAGGAAATTGAGAAATCCAAGTAAAATGAATCACAACTTCCAATTTGTCCATTGCCAACGTAATGATAGACGTGCCATACTTTTTTAAAATGATATCGCAAAATAGCAACGTTTTAACATTAGATAACTTTATAGTACGTTCGTAATACAATAAGAAAATATTTCATAGGCTGGATCGATGGAATGAAAGCAGACAGCTTGACAAATTTCGGGGACCAATGCGAAATCTTGGGGGTTTGGTGCGATGAAAACCCTTGCTTGACATGCACGCGTTGGATCTCAGCAGTGTCTGATCTAAGCAGTAAAAGCGTTATTGTTCAAAGTAATATTTCCAGGCAATACTTTATTAACCTTGTGTCTACTTTTATTAGATTCCGAGATATTTTCTATGTTATTAAGCACATACTTGAAATTAATTTTCATCTTAAAGGAGTACGCGATTTTGATCTGACGAACTATTTTTCCTTACATCTGAAGAAAATCGCTTCTCTAATTGGCTGGTATTCATTTGGATATAAAAGTTCACAACATAGCTTTTCAGTTTTTATACCTTAGTGTGTACATGTAATCATTAATGAAGTTTTTATTTTAACAATTAAGCTTTTATTCTCTATTTTAACTCATTTTTGACAGCCTTTGTGAAAAGAGGGCCATGTGGCCCTTCATTCCGATCGCCACCAAATTGTAGATAGCTGAAACCTATTACAAAGCTAGTTTCAGTCCCCAACTCAGTGATATGCTTCACGCCCGGGCCTTTACGAAATCACACAAAAATGGATAGCGACGCGGTAAAGAATTTGTGGCAGTTTTAGCCAGCACGAAATTCTTGCGGCGATGAATTTTAACCAAAAGGTCCTTCACAATGAATTTAAAAGCTTTTTGGATCATAAACTGGTAAATAGATGCAAATGTCGAGTTAAGAAAAGGTTTATAACTGTAGCGTGCTTTTCGCGTTGAGTTCATTCTGCCACATATGTTCATCAAATTCGATAAAATGCTTCTTAGTTTTTGCTTCTTAGTATGGGTTTATACCGTCAAGGCCTTCCTTTTTACTGGGGCCTAGCCGAAGGCTGGCACCGGTCATAAAATGCAACGCGTTTCTGTGTTTTCAAAGTTACATTGTTAGGGATATATCGCTGACTGAGATATGTCGCTGGCTCGTTACTTTCATTGAAATCCTATCCGCCATTTTGAAAAGCACGAGTCGAGCAGTCAAGAGAAAGATTATAGCTTTTTGGACGACACGTTTCCCAGCCTTTACGATGTACTAGTTTATGAGCAAAAACTTGAGAGTGAATATTTGGAGAGACAAATTTACGAGCGATCGCTTAAGAGTGAACCTTCCATCGTGAAACTTATGGAGAAAATAAGCGACTTATCAAAGTTATCTACATTGAGTGAACCTTCCATCATGAAATTTATCGAGAATCAATGCGAACACTTATCAAAGCTAACTTTATATCGTCTTAAAAAACACAAAAAAACACAAGTTTTCTGGCACCAATCAGAAGCCAGAACGGCGGCGACCGTTTGGAACTGGTCTGGTAAGACATTGCCCCCAGGGGCTCTTCTCGCCGTTCTATACTTTTCTTCGTTTCATAGATATTTTTCCACCCGTTTAGACTTTCCCTCGCCCCCTTATCTGCTCCTGGGTCTCAGAGGATGAGCTTAGGTGAACTTGGTTTACAATCAATAGATGTTGGCGGTGCAGGTGATTGACAAAAGTGGCCCCGGTAAAATTCACGAAGTGATTCTTGTTCATAAATAAAGTGTTCGAATTCATATTTGTGTGCTTTAGCTTGATTCATAGATGAAAACAGGAAGATAACAGACTTTTTTTGTGAGTAATCACTCAGCACGTGGTGACGCTGCCTAATTTGCATAATTTGGAACCAACGGGAAAACATTAATAAAAAATTCTGCATCCTTCAATGTTTTTAGCTGATTGGTGGTCTGTTTTGCTAGATAACTAGAGAAATTTTTTTTTAAAATTTTAAGCTCAATCCAACTATTATTATTGCAAAATCACATTTTATATTTGAATTTTTGCATAAATAATAAGAAAATGTATCTTGTAAATTTTATCAGTGAGGTATTATGGGCTGTCAGAAAGTAAAATTTATTTTTTGGGGGAAAGCTTATTGTATGCCCTTTCAAATGAGGTATAACGTTTTAAGCTATGGTAAATAACAGTGGAGATATAATTTTTTTGAAATGTGTGGTCAGTGGTCAAATTTGCTGTTTACGCGCCTGTCATAAATGAGTTTTAAGCTTGCATAGTTGATTTAAACGTTCTATCTAGACATATGTTAGAAGAAAGAGCTCATCCGGGTGATGCTCATCCAAAGAGTGACATGGTCTCAGTGACAACGTCCCATCGCTTCTCGAAGCAAGGAAGAATGAATTTTCTTCGGCTGTTTCTTTTGTCCAAGATGGCTTCAATGCAATAAGATTGGTGAAAGGCTGACTGTTTTGTGAAGCGGGTAGAAATTCTAAAGAGGGATTAGGAGGCTTGCCCTTCTGCCAACCCTGTTGAGAAAAAACATCTAATTTCAATTTGAGTAATTTGTCCAGTAGATCAGAGCCCATGGTGGCTTGCTTGAGCATTTTATAGTCAGAGAAGAATTTCTAACCGTAGCGGTGCAGAACCCGGTAACTGCAACGGAAATTTTATGAAATTCTTCGTAGAGTGTACTGGCATGTTCTCTTTTATTAGAACTATTTATCTACCCTGTATGTTCTCAAGGACAGTAACGTTAATTACTTACTAGTTAGTGTACTATATTTTTCTTATTTTAAAAGAGTAGGTGTGCTTTCGAAGAATTTTTTCAAAACGAACTATTTGGAAGAAATTGTTTCTAACCTTCACTGATAAATTGTCGCTGTCATCCATTTCAAGGCTGTAATTACGATCATTTGTTGCCTCTTCAAATACCAAGTGATATGATACCTTCTTCGGTGTCCTCTCTGTGCCGGTTTTGAAGGTTATTTTACCTTAATTAAAGAGTAAAATAAATAAATGCCGTGCTTTCCAGATGAAGACACTGTTGAAGTTTGACTGAGTGTAACAACTTACCAAAACAATGTTACAATGTCAGACTGCTGATATCAACAGCTTCAAATACTACTTCTACATACTAACACCGAGTTTTCATTGATGAAAATATACGAGGAAACAAGCCCTTGATTGCACAACATGAATTCACCAATGAGTCGTCAAACGAATAGACCACTAAATCTGTACTTCTTTTATTTAACCTGATTCAGGCTTTTGGAGTTCCCATCGCGAACCTTAGCGACTTTCCCTAAAAATTATGCACCTATCAATGTAAACCCCGTGGGGGGAGAGTGCGGGCAAGGGGTGGGGATCTGACAAATTTTAAAATTTTTTGATCAAATTCCCCAGGGTGGGAAACGAAAGGTCAATCAAAAGTGTCAAAAAAGCCCCCACCCCAGGGGAAAACTCTAAACAAACAATATTATAATACTATATAAAATGAATGAAAGAACATTTCAAAAGTACGTTCTTACTACTTTTATTTAAGGTTAACGTAAGCTCCGTTAAATTACTCGCTGTAATTAAGTATTTTCTCTCTCCACTAGCATCTCTTATATTGAACAACATAATCACTCTAGGAAGATTGACCGTGCTATTATATTAATGAAACGTAAAATGCTTTATATCATCGGCTCAACATGTCGGAACAGGTCGGATCAGTGACCTGTAAAAAATCCTCTGAATTTCTTGGTAGAATTCGATTTCAATCGAAGTTTACAATCAGATGGGAACTTGAAGATAAAAACTTTCTCAAAATAGACATTATCTGTTTAGATGACAGTGTACATGTAAAGTATCGGATTATGGCGATTAAAGCAAATGAAAACTTCATAACTCTCTCCAACAGCGTGACTTTCAGAAAGCCTCAAGGGAAGGACTTGGTTACCGCTTCTGAATTGATACCAGGCTTCTATCGGTCAAAGTCAAATGTCCCTACTCCGGGGTCGCTTCGCACGATCAAAAGCTCGACACGCGGATAGTCTCAGGCATCAAATCCCCGCCCCTTACCCGCACTCCCCCCTCACGGGATTTACATTGATACGTGCATTAACTGGGATCATTTTAACGTCATCGTTACGTGTACGTCAACTTTGATGTTACCATGGCAACCAAGTTTTGGCAGCCATGTTTTTCAAAATTGCATTTGTTTCTCAAAAATAGGTTTAAATTCTATTTTTACCTATGGAATTATTATTATTATTATTATTAATAATAACCTTTTATTAACAACAAAGCTAACTAAAGTGAAACCTGTTTTAGGCGGACACCCTCTATTAAGCGGACAGTAGCCGAAGTCTCCAAATTTTTTTCCCTTATTTTTTTTAAATGAAACCTTTATGAAGCGGACACCTCTATTAAGCGGATGTGGACACCTAAAAAGTACCTGAAATGGTCATTTCTATGGTTGCAACCTGTATTAGACAGACACTTGTGATTAAATTCCACCAACCAACATGTCAGACACCGGAAACCGAATTGCAACCAACAAATTTTTCGATTCATTAAAACACGTGACTTGACGAACTTACTTGATTAGCGGCACAGTACAGTATTGTTTTCTATTTCGTTTTGTTTGTTTAGAACTTGTTTCACTCATTGATTTCTTCAAATTTGAGTTGCAATCTATTTTTATGGTAGTATGATCAATTGGTCCACTTTGATAAAGAAATTAATGCAAACTTATATCGTCATAGTCTCTGGGAGTATTCTAAACGTTTCCACTGTTCATTTGTATGGCATTTGACACCTCCTCTGACGTTACCTATCCAAACCTGTATTAGGCGGACACCCTGTATTATGCAGACACTACAGGATTCCCCGACGGTGTCCGCTTAATACAGGCTTCACTGTATTAAAACCTATTTACAATTAATTTCGCTGAAGAAAAATAAAAGCATTTGGTCAAAGCACTATTTACGAGTCATTTCATTTCATAGGCTCCTGTTCATTTCGATTGAAAATAATAGTATCTACAATTATTTATGGAATTATTATACCACTCTTAAATATACTGTTATTTAATTAAAGTTATTGTCACTGTTGATGAAATCCAGGCCTTTTGGTGATTAGCTTTATTAGGAAAAAAAATGATTTAACATCAAATGGCAGATGTGAGTTTAATTTTCAACAGTTTTCATTTTTTCTCGGAATTGCATATTCTGCAGATTTTTGGCTTCCTGAGCATCGCTTTATACTCGGATCAAGTTTACTATTAAAAATTCTTCGATTTATAGCGGTTTTAAGTAAAATGAAATACATTTAAATAATTCAAAATGGCGGATCCAAGATAACGGATGCTTCCACTTTTTATTTAGTAGTAAATGACATCATCATGACATCAGTGCCATTGTTCAAGGTTATTTATATGTAAGCCAACTTCTCGATTTATTAAAGTATTTTCCGCTTCATGTTTAATTTAGGGAAAATGTGGATTCTGGCAATAAATCCAACCATATTACGTCATAATGACGCCAGATCACGTTACTGTGCCAATCAGGATATACCCGGAAGTTGGAAATGGCGAGTTATTTGCTCTGTGTTATTTTGGTGGCCGTAGCATGAGAGGTTTTGAAGTTGTAAAGGGGAGCCTCTGGAGGCCCCCCACTCCCCCCGGTCGCAGGAAGCAAAAAAATGCGCTGTCAAACTGGGGTTAAAATTTCATTTTATTCTGTATTTTGTACTCTTTTTTCTGGGCTAGTATCATTAACAAAATTAAACTAAAAGTGCTGAAAAATTTGTCTTTTGACTAACTGAATTTAACAGGCTGGTTTTACAGTATATTAAATATTATGGATTTGGAAAATCAATAATAAAGATCTATATTATAGAAATATTAAATGAACAATAAATATAAAAAATAACACCATAAGTGTCTCTCACCCAAATTTCCTTCCCCCTCTTTTTTGTTCGACTTGACTTCTGCAAGGTCTGAATAGATGGTATGTGGATTTATGTGTATAAAGTTTGATGAATGGAACACACACAAAAAACAACCAAGCGCACAAAAATAATGATAATAAAAAATTAAAATTAAAGGGCTGTTTGTGCCCTTTTTCTGGGAGGTGGCGGGGTTAATACCATCCGTTATCGGCAACGAGTTAGGTGGGAGAAGAAGTGAGGCTGTCGAGGCGGAAACAATATAGAGCTGATACCGTGGGTATTACACATGCAACAAAAAAACCGTCGAATGATGTCCCTTCAACAAGAATCCGGTTGTTTTTGAAACAACAATTACACGAATTAAGTGCAGATTCACTGGTTTCATGTGAACGGAAGGCACTTCCGTCTAAAAATGCGTTTTCAAAAGTACGCTGATTCGTGTGGACGGGGCCTGGTGCAAGAAAGATTAAAGGTAACAAAAGGCAATTTAAACAACAAAAGAATCAAAGGGCATACGTGAGATTTTGAATGTGACAAGCTCACCCTTCTTCAAGATTTCCACAGCGTGGTTAAGTGCGGATTTACCAGAGCAAATTTGTTTATAGGAATTTTCCCCTGGTTTTTTTAGCGACAGCTGCATTTAGTCATTATATTGAAATTGGATTTGACAAATTAAAAGATATAAAAGGAAAAGAAAATACTTGTCAATTACTGGATGCTTGGTTACCTGTATTTGAAGTATTGATCTGTAACTCCAAGAAACGTTGACTACTTAGTGACCACACCCGATGCACTTTTGCCATCTTGTTACTGCGCGTTTGCCCTGTTGATAATGAATGATGACGGAAATAATAATTATATCAGCATGAGACTTGAGTGTTTCTCACTGAGGATGGAGGATTTCCTTTAATGGCCTCTCTTGGGTATGGCGTTCCGTTGCGGACAAAATTATACCTTGGGAGGCTCCGCCCGAAAGGGGAACAGAGAAAAAAAAGACTTCAAGTTGCTAGCTATGTCAAAAAGGCACCATTTTAATTTCAGTGAATGGTGTAAGAAAGGGGGTACTTTTTTGCAGAAAATGTTTCATAAAAAGTGTAAAGAGCAGAACCTCGCGGCAGAACGTTGCGTGGTGAAACAAAGACTAAACGGTTAGAATCTGTTGAGACAAAGGAATGAGGAGTCTTGCATCTAATTCCAAACGCTCGTTAAACGTTAACTTATATCCTGTTTGTTTTTTTGATATGAATTATTAATGAATTTGAGAAATGATGTTAAAAATGACATCGAAATAAAAAGCTTGCTTTAAAAATTGTTTCTATTATAACATTTTAACTAGATAAAGCTGTAGTTTTTTAAATTCACTACAATCTGCTTTTAAATAATTGTCACTATCAGAAAGCCTACAATTTTATGCCTCTTTAAAAAAGCAATTTCACTTGAAGGTAAAACCTTACCTTAGAGTGGCTCGATCTCCTCCGCATTGACAATTACTTACAACGTATAGCAAATCAGCTTTTATATGGAAGAAACGAAAGATTTATGTGATTGGAGAGAGCGAGATGTGAGACAAATGGAGGCCGCATCACATGCATGTGGTTGGATATTCTTCCTAAGAAACTTTAAATAACTTGTCGTCATTCTGGGTAACAAACTTTCATTTCAGAAAGTCACGCAAGAAAAAATAACTCATTGCTTTCCAAACAATCTGAATTTACTGCATTTTTTTGATCAGACAGTTCATATCTATCTACCGCTGCGCATTAACCTTAAGATGATTTAAATGAAGTTTGATTTGAAAAACATGTCTTCTTACTAAAAAAAATAAATGTAGTTATTGACAAACTTGACGTTGTTTTCAATGCTATCGCTGGCATGTTTCATTTTCCTATGATTCTTTCGAAACATATATCAGTATCGCACGATGCGAGGAAAACTGAAAGTCTGAATCTCCGATAATAGATAATATTTTGGTAGAAGATTGGGTTTTCGAAAATTGAGTAATTCGCCAGTTTGAAAGAACGAAAACTTTAAATTTCTCGATTTAGAAAATCCGCTAACCAAAACGCTAATATAACCTTTGACTCTGACTGCCGAATAAAATATTTCGCCATTTTCGCTTTTATGGAAACCACACTTTCATAACAGGGGGCTTTTCCCTCCCCATCGCTAAAAAGCTGAATACCCTTAAAACCGGCCAACAGTGAGAGAAATTCTCCCCTCTTATACCTGAAAGCTCACTAGAACTTAAACAACACCGGAGGGAAATCCTGTCGATGCTACCGTGATTCGACTTCGCCCTGACGCTGACCAAAGGATCGTGACACTTGATACGGGATGGTCACCAGTACTCCCCAGCTCAGAAAACTGTTGCCAATGGGTCGAAAAAACAGATTACAGCCTCTCTGAGCAAAAGTTCAAAGTTCATGAGTGACTTTATTACCGATTTTCCAAGAACAGATAAGATGGAACGGTGACAATGCTAAAAGATTATCGGCCAGTTATTTAAACGGAGTTTAGCTAGTGTTTAACAAAACCGCGTTCTAAGCCATTTTCAGTTTGCCGAACGCTTTTATGTAAACACCACTTATCGTGAAAAATTTAATGAAAGCATATGGCGTAGACTAGAAAAGCATTTGTGCGCTTGAAATAACCACTGAAGAAGAGATTTGGAGGTCCAAAGATTTCCTAAACCACGGTCTAACTTAGATTTCGTTTAATTAACCGACCCTTTAGGCTTTTCACAAAAAACCCTCCAAAACACTTAACAGTATTTTCTCCGGAAACAGTAAACATTGAAAAATTGACCAATTTAACAGCAAACACTAAAAATTTTGGGCAAATAACACTAAACACTAAGCCCCATTCAGACCCTTAATTAAGGCACAAGAAATCTTCAAGATTTACTTTTGGGGAAAAATTCATTTTTTTCTAGGTCTCCTAGCAAGAGATATGGCAAATCATTCATATTATAACTGAAATGGACATCGTGTTGAAATATGTTATGATGATGACCACGATGCTGATGATGATGATGATTAAGTAACTACTTGGAAAAAGACATATGATGAATAAAAATAAAAATATTAAAATGCCTCTTTTTAAGCAAGGAATTAAATTTTTACAATGAGTAATGAACACTGCTGACTTTTTGAAGATTGAGTTTATGCAAAATGGCTACTTCTCGTAGATTGTATTCTACCACGTTCTTGGCATAAATTTTTGTGGGTTGGTCGAGCGTATTGGAAAGTTGGGGACAGTTAGGTAGGAAAACAGCATATCGAAGTAAGAATAAGAATGGTGACGGCTTTCATTGTATGCGTTAATAAATAGATTCACTTTTTTGATGGAATTTCGCAGTTGTTAAGATGTGAAGTCGCGTTGCACTTAATAAATACTTGAGATATCCACTACTACTGGAAGCAACTTCAACTACCCGTCTGACGTTATGTGACACGTTCTCACGGATGTGTTTATTAGGAGTTTTCACATGACGTCACTAACGCTACTAATTTAATTTTTTTAAGATTTTGCTATCCAAACATTCCTTGTCTTAGAATAAATATTACTTTAATCTTTATGAGTTCCTCAAGCAATGAATTCACCCATAAGTAGGAAAACTCAACAAAAGATGTTTCTGTTGGTTTCCGGCGGCCATATTAATTTTGTGCCCTTCAAAGGGACAGCAACATGGCGTCTTCATACAAAGCCTTTTAAATTTGGGTAAATGAATTATCGCACGGACCTGATTCTTGGCGAGGCTTTTTATATGTTTATCTTCTGATCTTTTATTTCACAGATTCTGGACTTTCTGTATTGACTGGTTTTCCGTTTAAACCCCACGCAGTTTACCAGATTACCAATTACCGTATGCGGAACTGTACAGTACCAGCCTTCATAGACAGTAACATCACGGATTAACTGACAGACGACTAATAACATCGCGACGTAATTGACCAATCAGATCAATAACCAGAGTATAATACCATCAACTGACGTGATCCAACTAACTTTGACTGTGAAGATGACTACCACACAGGTTGACGAAACGTCAGTCGCTGTCAACAACAACAGTCCTACTTGTCCTATTCACGACTTCCTTCACCCGGACGATCAAACTCAACCTACTTTTGAGTTGTACAGTTCTAGAGAGTTTCCAAAATTAGATATTTGACATGTTTCAACGATGAAGTGCTTTACTCTGATTAAACATCAACGTTGTATAGACGCTAAATGGCCATATGCTTATACTTTAAACTCGAGACGGTGTGTCGTCTCAAGCTACCGATACGGCTGGAACGACTGTGTTTTGTATTTAATCGACTTCCCCAGACACAGACACTTCATGTAAAACCAGGTAAATCGTTTCGTTTTTATTGTAATGGTATCTGCCATCCCTAAACCGTTAATGGGGTTCCATTTGGTTTCCGTAAAATTCAGAAAGTAAGCCCCTCCATGTATAAGCCCCCTCAACTCGTAACGCAAAAAACCGTCCATTAAATCGCCCCTCTAAATATAAGCCCCTCCTGGGGCTTGAACTAGGAAACTCTCCTCAATTACAAAGCAAAACAAAGCAAAAACGGTAAATTTCCTTCCAACTATAAGGCTAGCCCAGTCAATTTTGAAACGCAAATTTCCCTCCATAGATAAGCCCCTCCAAAAAAAGAGCCCCTCAAAAAGGGTCTTTGAAAAATATAAGTCCCGGGGCTTATTTTCGGAATTTTACAGTATGTCATTATAACAACTTAATCAATAATTGGCTCTTTAGCTAACTTAAGTTTTAACCATGTTTTCTTTTCTTTTAAGACAATGGTTCAAAGCGTCAGGAAAAGGAAATCGTGACTGAAGTCTACGTAAACTAGTAGATACAGTACACCACGATAAAAACATAATAGATTAATGTAAAGAATTAAATAAATATTAATTTGCTTCATTAGTCATTATGCCTCTTGTTTGATTTGTATATTTTGGTCAATGATCCATAAGACCGAAACAAAATAAATTACTGTCGAAGCTATACCAACGGCCATCTTGAGATATATCCTTTGAAAAATAAAGTTCACGAATTATTTCTCCAAGATTTTTAAAGATTTATGTACTGAAAATAGGGTAAAATTGCCGAGGAAAATATAAAGGCAAAGGAAAAACAGAAATTTCAGTATTTTAAATTCAAGTGCGCCTAGCCAAAATATTAAAATTTGAACATCGTGTCGCCGTCTTTTCGAAAGCTCTTTGCCTTTTACGCCAACAGAAATAACCTTCGACATCTCCTTTAATCTCGCAAAAAGTTAGATGTGATTGTGCTGACTGTTTTATTTTTAGTAGGTAAAAGCTAAAGCTATTCTTTATGTCAGGGAGTGACTAAAAAAAAAACAAGTAACGGAAGTAATTTTGGTTGGCTGATTCAGCAAATGTCAACCAATCAAAAAAGTGGGCGCAGACGTTTCGTATAAGGTTTGTATCACGCTGTCTTTTCGTTTCGCCTTGCTCGCCAGAATGCTTTTTACAAAGCGAAACGAAAACTGAGCCTGATCTCAGGTTACATAATTTCCATAAGAAAAGGAAAGAGGTTTTTATCATAACAAGGTGAACCTCAGCAAGTCCTTGCTTACCCTCCGAAAGTGATATGAGGATTCTCGTCCGCAAATAAAAAAAAGAGGCATGACGCGATTCAAAAGGGGAAAAAATATCGGTTGAGTAATAGGTAAGGGTGAAGTCAGAACCCATGTTGATATTATAATTACAGTAGTTTTTATATCTTAAATGTTCACTCTGTAAAAACATGTTATGATTATGATTATTATTA